AGCTCTTGAGTGAACAGGAGCCTGTAACTCTTGCAAGGTCCATAGCAGGTGGCCAATATATAATGGAATTGGAAGGATATCCTCTCTATGTAACAAATAAATACAGCTTTGCTGATGAAAGTTGTTTTTCTCAGTCAAGGTAAAGCTCAGACAATGTTAATGTTTGAAAACAGCAGGGATAACACAGTGGAAGGAAATCCTTGCATGCCTCATAGCGGAAGGTAGACATGAGACTGCAATATATACATCCCTGCAGCTGATCTGAGATACAGTTGTTTTGGTCAAATATTCCAGAATCCTGGACTCGCTCCAGCTTGTGCATGAGAAGGGTAAAAGTAGATAAAGGTAACAGCTGTATTTAGATGCAGTATTTCCTTTGACTAACGGGAGAGGAAGGATACCTCCTGGGAGCAATCCTTCTAACGATATCCCTAATCCAAGAGTTTCAGAGTTCATTCACTTCGTGCGTCCTACGCTCTCTTGGCCAGCGTAAAGCAGGCGTGAAGCTGCCGGATGTTTGCAGGCCAGGAAGAGTTTGGAGCAAGCACAGAGCTGCCAGGTAAATTGGGAGAATTCAAGGCTTTCTTAAATACCAGCGTGCATCGTGGAAAAAGCTTTTTGGAGAATGACTTTTTGCGAAGCTTATTGTAGCTGCAACAATGTGTTAGCTGGAAGAAAACGTAACTGGGGGGAAAATCTATAAGTAGGACCAAGGAATTGCTTCTTTAAGGCTTTTCTGTGAACTCTGCTAGTGAGGTCTGTGCAGTTGTGTAGTGGATTAGCATTACCTCATTGTCAACAAAGCAGATGGCAAAGAAAAACTAGTCTTTCTAAAGGTCAAGAAGCTGCTGCTTGGTTGCTCGCTGGACACGAGTAGTTTTTCTGACCATAGTACTGAGTCAAGTGTCATGGTTCATTTGGACCTCTCAGAGTTACAGGAGGATGTACCCTGTGAATCCAACTTTATTACATGAGCTCATTAGGTAAAAATCAAACAAGGGCTCAGTCCCCTTTCGATGGGCTGCTGTAACTTGTTAGTTCTCTAATTCATTGCTTCGTTAATTCACAAATTCACTAACTCACAAGCTTATGAGGAAGCCAGTTTCCCAGCTGATGGTGAGAATGCTCATGCTCCTCTGTCGTGGTGCAAGTATCACAGTTGGAAGCCTGGGAACCTCAACAGTGTGGATGCTGATGGGTCAGCTTGAAAGCTTTTTGGGTAAGGTGATGTACTTACACCTTCTGTCATGGAAGTTTGGTTTCTACCGTTCCTGTGCGTTGTTCCAGTTAACTCTGAAGAGTTTCAATCTTATCAGAAACTGCCCAACAGTTGCTTTTGCACAGCTGCAAGGACAGCAGGTCTTATCTCTTCCTCTCCTTTGTATCTGGCATACACGTAGCTCTTGCACAGTGGTCCTGCTCCCAGCGTAGATTAGGCTGAGCTGTACCAGCGTGAGCTGTGTGTTGGGCCAAAACATGAGCAAGAGTTGAGTCAGCAGCCACAGTCCAGTGATACCTGTGTCAGAAAATGTCCATTGTACAAAAGTTTGGTTGCTTAGACCAGCCTGGTTAAAACATACCGTCCTGAATGTCAGTTTGGTTATAAGAGTTCATCAGACTTACCAGAGCTGTGAGGTAAAACATAGCTGCTGTAGTTCATCTGCCCGTGTGTAAGTCTTTAGATTTACTTTCATGAAAATCTTTGTAGTTTTCAACTCACCTGCAAGTCTTAATTGAATTTTTGCTTTTTTAGCTTTTTGGATTCAACAGTGTTTATTCAGTGGATGGTCTGTGTGGTCTTTTTTTTGCCTTTGCAATAGCACTGAACTTGCACACCAGGTGTAAACTGAAGAATAAAAATTTGTCTTGCAACGTCACCTGACATTGATACCTGAGACTGCACATGTCCGATATCCTCTTTGGCCCTGCAGTTAGAGCAGTGGATTTTTATACAAAAGCAAACAGCATGTGGGGATTTATAGGCACTAGTCTCTGACCGACCATTGAGATGATCTTGCACCACTAACCTCACTTGCCCTGCGTTCTTCTCCCTTTAAATCCTGCACTACAAAGTCTGGAAGTGTCTGTAGCAAGCTCTTCCATTCCCCTCACTAGCCCCTAAGTCGTAGGTCATGCCTGCAATCTTCTGATTCTGGTTTTCCTGAAGACCTGGGGTAATTAAACTTTGTTATGAATATTTTGGTAAAACAAGCCCTCTCCTAATGAGTTAACAAACTCTTGACTACTAATAGTTCTGTAAGAGCCATGAGCTGTATTGTGCAATCAGGTTCAGCATCTCAACCAGCTTTGTTCCAGCTGTTGCATCGTTTATGGATGAAACTAGTACAAACAAGCTCTGTGTCGTGACTTCAGAGCAGGGTGCCAGCCTAGCAAAAATCATGACAACTGACTTTTTTTTTTTTTTTTTTTTTAAAACTTCTAAGCCTTTAAAGCAGCAGCCCAGTTCTGTTCTGTCCCAGCTCTCTTCTAGAGGACAAATGAGGAGAATGCCCATAAATATAAATTATGGGCCACTCGTAATCTCTCCACACACAGAGAAGTTTGGATTCCTCCTGATGGGCTACTAAAGAGATGACAAAGTAGAACAGAAGCCTGTTAGGATAAATGATGACACTTTTGAGTACAAGCACAACTGTTGCTTATGAGTGGAATAATTGACACTTATTATTGCCTGACTGCTAAACAAGAACTTCTGCTACTAGGCGGTATTAAATTTTCTTTTTATTTTGGAAATAATTGATTGAGCAATTGGGATCTGTACAAATGCTACTCCCTTTGAGAGGGAGGTATCGTTCTGTTCCCCTGCCCAGAGGCTGATGGATGTCCTATCCAGAAATGAGCACAGTGGCATTTCATTCCCAAGTAAATGCCCTGTATCCACGTGTGTAGGGACAATGTGTGGGGACCTGTTTGGTAAGTATTTTTCTCTGGATCTTGAATTTGGAGTATTTAGGTAAGTGGATTTAGTTTTTATTGTAATCATTCAACAAGACAAGTTTCAGTAACACAGAGGGAGTTCCAGCCTACTCTCTGAAGTAGTTTCAGCTAGTCTGACCCAATATAAAAACTTCTAGGGAGATTTTTAAAACTATAAGATACTAAAAATCTATCCAAAATCTATCCAAAGCAACCCTAAACAAGACATTGCTTTGGAAACTGCATTTGTACTTAGTCCAAACCCTGGTCTTTCGGTGTTTCACTTTTAATCTTAATAAATAGCTTAGTTGTGTAGCTGTGATGAGGTCACTCCCACTTTTCTCCTCCTCTTGTCTTACCATCCTTGCTAAAACTCTAGCTTATCTGAGTCAAGCTATCAGTAGCTATTGTTTAGCTGTCTCATAGCCTTGGTAGCTCTGAACCATTTGCTTCTACCCTGATCGTGGGGCCATACCATGTGCATGACTTCTGCTCGTTCAAGAGTGCATGTTTGGCATTCTTTGCGCAGTAACTCCTATGGGATGCCAGAAAACACACTGACTCATGGCGAGTTCAGCCCATGGAGCCCATCCCGCTGCTTGTGATTATGGTGCAGGAAATAAACAAGATGACAACTTAATCTATCACGTCTTCGGGCTGAGAACTGGGGCAGCAGAGTAAGATAGTCCATACCTGACACTCTATTTGTAGCTCTGTTGCCTCATCCATTTCCCAGAAGGGAACAGAAAATTCAACTTGCAAAAATCAAAATGAGGTTTGTGAAATGGGCTGGGACGTGAGCTTGGGAATTTGAGCTCTTGCATATTCTTTTCCGATGAAAAATAAAGAGGTGCAAAGCACCCCATGAAGGTGGTGCTGGGGGCAAGCTCTGCAGCGTGGACTCCAGTCCCTCAACTGACGCAGCCAGGCTGGCATGAGATGGTGGTTACTCATTGCAGCTGGAGTGGGAACTGGCTGCTGATCCTTTGTCCCATGTGCCTCTCTTCTATCACACCTTAGAAATGATGTGTAGCGTTTTGTCAGCTGGTGGCACTGATAATAGGTCCCTGTGTTTAAAGGAAGTGAACGAGCAGCTTGGTGGTTATTAATCTGGTGCCTGTCTCTTCTTTCTGCCTTGAGTGTCCAGCAAGAAAGATACAGTTTTTGCAAGGCACAGCACCCGGTAGATGTCGGGCACGTGTTTGAATAGGGAGGTAAACGAGGTCATCCTCAGAAACCCGCTAAGACTTCTAATTTTATACAGTCTGAAAATGCCCAGGAGGCAGAAACATATTCAATTTAAATTAGTAAGTCAGTCTTGGTTATTCATCAGAATAAGTGTTTTTGTGTATTAAGAATAGCTGCTGTGTCTTAGCGCTTCCTCCTATTGTTACAGCTCTTCCTTGAGCAGTGCAAATGTTTTGGGTGGTTTAAATTACATTTGCAGTAGTAATTAGGTTTAAGCAACTTTACAGTTCACTTATCTAAATATACATCTGTGTCTAAAGACCATATGATTTGTTTTTTTTTTCCTCCTCCTTCACTCCCCCAAGCCATGACATTATCAAACGGGGCAGGCAGCTGGAGGCAGCCATGTACCCAGCCACTGGCCCGTGTCTGGTGGAGATCTCTGCTCAGAGCTGCTGGTTTTGATGGTATTGTGATGAAGTGGCTCTGGCTTTGACTGCCAGCCTGCTAGTCTCACTCTACTACAGCATCGCGTCCTGCCAGATACCAGGGGTTCCTCCTTTACCCAACGTTTTTTTTCTTTTTTCTTAAACGTGGGATTAATAGCCATCTATGTACAAACGATCTCAGCTTAGGAAGCATCTGTTGTTGCTGTTTGTCCACTGCCTGAAGTCCAAATCCGCTGTTTGTTACAACTCCTGGGTGCAGTAAAGCAGATTATGTGCTCTGACACACAGCTTGTCGCTACAGGCAGGTTGGGGTTTACAGTAAGCAGGGTCTGACCATTCATCGTTGGGTCCGAGCCATCCTAAGTGTGGGTAGAGCAGGGAGGGTCGAGGGGATGATGTGGGCAGTTGGGGAAGGTGATGCTTTACCTCTCCACTTGTACTGCGTTGATACTCCAGCTCCCATGGGCATGCCTGTATCTCTCCCAGTAGGATGACAAATTAGGTCTTGTCTCATGAAGTAAAATCACGAGCAGAAGCACTTCGTAGGGTTTGAGTGTTGCTGTGGCTGTTTCTTGATAGCTGTTGGGCTGAGATGCTTGTTTGATCTCTCAGCTCAGGGCAGAGCAGAGCCAGCCAGTGTTGTGGGTTGGCTGCTGGGAGCCGGTGCCTGTTACCCAGACGTGATTGCAACCGAGCACTTCGCCCCAGGCCACAGCCTGGGTGCTGCCTCCCTGGCAGACTGGGAACGAGCTGGGACTTGGATAATCTTATTGCCTCGGTGACTCCAGAAACTGTAATAATCTCTTAATCTTAATGGGTCCACGTGATGGATAGGTAACACTACTCGAGGATTTTCTTGATATATGGTGGGGTGGAGGGTGGATAAATTATTTTCAGGCTTTCCTAAGGTTATGTACTCTCTAAAAATAAACCTGTTGGAGAAAAAAGAATTGCATGTTAGGGATTTCGGCTACATTCAGATTTTTCCACTCTACTTCACGCTGCAGTGTCTTTCACTCGCATTTGATTTTCATGGTAACAAATTACTTCGGGGATGCTTGAAAAATGTAATGCTGCCATAAGATCTTGCGATGCAGCTCATGAACATTGTATTCAAGCCGACCTGAAGGCACTGATGCTGAGCTCCATCAGGCAGTGTTCAGAGGCAGGTCTCCCAGGCTGGTGGGCTCCTGCAGTCTGGTAGAGGATTCCTGTAGTCTTTAGGTCTCCAGCCTGCATGTGCTTTGCCCAGCTAAAATTCCCATTTATCCAAAAGCATGTTGGATGTTTTTCCCTCTCCTTTTTGGTCCTGAAAAAATCAGGTTTACTGAGCAAGCCAAGTCATGTCAGTTTGGCAGGATGTGTAGATACCTTCAGAAATAACGCGTGGACTAAAGCTGTGACGATAACAGCGCTGGGTCTGTACCAGTGATTCATTTGAACTAATTGGCTGCTGAGAGCATTGGTATGTTTCTTTGTCTCCATATTTGACTAAGATTCAGCTCCTATGATCCAGATTATCTCGTCCTAGTGAGCTTGGCTCATCTCTAATGACGCCAGGAAGACTGTCCTGATGCATGAAACATGCTGGAGAGCTCGAAACTAGAGTTGGAATATTTATCCTGATTCACTCTGTCCAAAAATGCAGACTCAGCTGGCCTCATGTCCTATTCCTCCACCTCTTTTCTCACAAGCTAGGAAATAAACTTGCTGGTTATTCCTCTCAAATGCCATGAATAACTGAAGTCCAGACAGGAGCGAATATGTGAAAGGCTGTAGATGGTAGTGCAGCTGTTATTACCCACAGAGATCTTAAACTTTCAGTAATGCTTATGTACTGCTTTATATGAGTAATTAAAGCTGAATGTACTATTAAAGAATTCTGTTTTCATTCTGGATACTTTGAATTTACCTCAGTTGTGCAACAAGCCTGGCTGAATTATTATTACTGCTGTGTTAGAAACCTGTGATGATGGAGCTCACTCGTACGAGTAACTGGCCACCTGTCTGAAAATCTGCTGGTCAAAAAGGACAAGCAGCTGGCTGAAGCTATTAAAAGAAATGTAATGAGAAGGAACGTAGCTGAGGGATAAAAGAAATGTAGTTGTGGGCTGTTGTGCCCATCTACTTGCAGTACTGGCAGCTTAGATGTGCTTTTGCGTACAGGAGAAGGAATGGCCTGGAGCCCAACCACTTGTTTCGGGGCATGGTGCGCTTGGTGGCAGGCCTTTTGGAAAGGCTGGGTGCTCCCTGGGGAGAAACAACACTTTCCTGAGTTTGGAAAAACAGCGACGCTTAGGGCAGCCACATCTCCTCTCATAGATGTTTTTGTTGTTGTCCCTCCTTGCTCTCCCCTCCCATGTCTCAAACCCTGGGCAGTTTGTGTGGTCACATATGATGGCGTAGGCTTCTGTCCAATGTAGCTTTGCAACAACCATTGCCCATGTACCTGAATAAAAGCATCAGAACTGTTTTGATTTACTTTTTGCACATTGGTAAGCTCTTTAGTATAGCATGCATTTTTCTTATAACACACCGCCTATGTATAATTCAGTGCTGTTGTAAAAGCTGTGGCTCGTGGGCGGGCTTTTGTTATAACTGAATTTCCCAAGCTGAGATTCTTCCAGACTGGTACATTCTGCGGTTTATCTTGGTTCGGAGCTGATGGAGGAGAAGCTATATAGATAACCCCAGTTTTGAATTTGATCTCTTATGATGCTTATTAGGACCACTTGTAGTGAATAAGCTAAATATGAAGCATAATACCCAACGTATATGCAAGGCTTGTGGGTCTATCGGGAACAGGAGTGAGCCAGGGGAAGCCAGCTCTAACTCCAGCTGTACATCAGAGCTTTCCCACAGGCGCCTTCGGTTACCCAGAGAAAGAGCCACCTTCAGCACGGTGGTGCCTTCTCACTGCAAGGCTGTCCTCTTGGTTTGCTTCGTGTGACTTAAGTGTCTAAAATTTGGGGGGAGGAGTAAAATTTTGCAAGAATTTGGGGTAAGTAGAAGGGGGGGGGGACAGGGAAAAACCCCATTAGTATTTTTGCATACTTAGTGTGGGGAGTTGTAAGAGTCCCAGACCAAATTACCCTCCCTCCATCTCCCCAGGGGACTGGAGCTGTGCTGGGGTATAGCCGAAGGCTGCGGGCTGGGGTTATGCCTCACCCATGGAAAACTGATGTCATTTAATGTAGCGCAGAGGCTGTTAATCAGGGATCCCTCTTGGACGCAGCCAGGGCTCTGCCTACAGGTAGGCTTGGGACAGAGTCTGGGCTAATCCTGCTCTACAAAGGGTGCGAAGGGGGATCATGGCAGGAGTCTGGGCAGTCGGGCAGCATTCCTTCTGCAACAGATCGGCTGTGTGTTCGCAAGGTGGGGTGAAAGCGGCTGGACTAAAGCAGTGGCTGGAAAAATAGCTGTATTCATGGGCAAGGATCAAAACTGAGACAGCTTCTGCATGCTTTTATGAGGGATTGTCTCTAAAATTGCTGCTGCTGCCCTTTAAGCCGTTGCAGGCAAAGCAGGCTGAGCCATAGATCCAGTCTTACTGGGAATATTGGAAACAAGGAGCGGAGTTATTACCTGTGCTGGAGAAGCTTTGCCTGTCTTCATCAAGGAAACTTTAAATAAATGACTTTTTTGTCCCTTTAACTTAAGGATTATGAATAGTAAATGTTAGAGGAAAGGGAGGTTACAGAAACACTGTGAAAGGAGGTTTGGTGGAGAGAATAACAAGGAAAGAACAAAACCTCTGAGGACAGCAGGGAGGTGGAACTTTGATGGCTTTAACCCTTTGCTCGCTCGTGTGTTGCTTGTTGATGAGATTTTAATGAAGGATCTGGATCTTGCAAAATATTCCCTGTGGGTGTTACGAGTTTACACTGCTCTTTCAACAGCAGTGTCTTACATACAGCTGGGATTTACTCACTGCTCAGCTATGGCAGGAAATGCTGAATTTGCTTTTTTAGTAAGCGCTTGGGTTTTTTGCTGCCCTCCCTGAGTCCCCGGGCAGATGCTTTGTGCTTTTCTTGATGTTCTCTTACTTCAGAGAAGTACAATTTTGAGGAGCAAATACGCTGTTTGACTCCTCCTTCCCAGTGCTGCTTGTGGGAGTTACTTTTTCACACAGCCGAGGCTTGAGTTAATGTTTAGCAAGCCTCAGCTCCAGCCCAGGCTTGGAAATAACTCCTTGCTGTTTTCTGGTTACTCCGAGGGCTGGGTGCTGGCTGTGGGTTGTGTCCTTCAGCCTGCGACCCAGGCGTGGGCGGCTCAGCCTTGGGCACCGCTGCCTTGAAGGCACGGGTGGATTTACTGTGGCTTCTGCTCGGTCTGCCCGGGGCGGGTGGATGCGGGGAGGGAGGAGAGGATGCTCACGGACACCCAATCGGCACCTCGTGGGTCGACAGCGGCGAGGCGGGGCAGCCGCTCCTCGACTCCACAACGGAGGGACACGGATGGACTGACTGCCGCTCTCTTCTCTGTCTGGACATGGACAAGCGTGGCACACGCAGCTCCGGGGTCGCCAGAAGTGGGATCCCCAGGCCCTGGGTGGTGTTGGCGCCTGCCCAGCCAGCCAGCTGCGCCCAGCCCGGCAGCCTCAGCAGGTACGAGCACGGTCGTGGGGTACGGCTGTCCGGGGTGATCACTGCTCTGCTTCTCGAAGGCAGGGCCTAGAGGTAGGGCGATACCTGGGGCAGGTAACAAGGAAATTTTCCAGAGGTGAGAAGACTACAATATGCTCTTTAAAACTGTGCTTTGATTGCCTTGATCGTGAAACGAAACCTATTAAAACTCCCTTTTTCTTTTTTTTTTTTTTATTTTTATTAACTCTACAATTGGGATCAGTGCAGTGAGCTGTGGAAGTGGGACCTGGGGGGTGCGTGCGTGGCAGCGGGGCTAAAATGCAGGCTGCGTGTTTCCTTGTGATTCAGTGGTAACGCTGCCCTGGCAGCTTGTGGGGTCTGAGGGCCGTTCAGTGATTTATAGGACTGTATGAAGGTAAAAAGTGTGTATGTATAAATATTGCGCAAAGCACGCATACTAAAGGATACAACTGAAAATTGAACTACTTTGCTTGGCAAACACTGTACTGGTGGATCAACTTCTAAGCTGATGCAAATACATGTTAGGTGAAGTCTTAAGTCATTTAATGTCATTTAAGCACACAAAGTTTCAGAATATCTCCCTGCTGCAGTAATTGAAACCCGTTGGGTTTGTGTGAATGTACTCACGGGGATTTTACTTGTAACCATAGCTCACGTTTTCACATTTCTGTCTGACCACCTCATTTTTCCTAGTCTGCCTTGACCTTGCGTGTAGAAGCAAGAAAGGAAATCTTTAAAAAATTCCAGGCAAAATTTGAGATGTAAAAAAAAAAAAAATATTATTGGGGGAATGACACAGGAATAATATGGTAAGTTACTTTAAAATCACCCATGTTTAAGAGAACTAGACTAGCACCTTGAG